GTCTTACATCTATCTACGGGTCAGACTGGTGAGTCTTGAACGGACCGGGACGATGCGCTTTTCTGCTGTTTAACATTTCATCACGATTCTCAAGTCATGTCTTATTGTGATTCTGAAGATGTGTGATACATTAAGTATTGATTATTGGGATTTTCTTTTTTGTCGAATCATGAAACAGGAGAGAGACTATCACGAGAAATATTTCCAAAAACAATCCTCATGTCAATCTTACCTTCAAACACTCGGCTTCCTGTTCCCATAAAGCCACTTCCTGTGATCTGCAGTCTTTGTTACCGAGGCCAGTGGTTCCCAAAGTGTGGGTCAGGGCCCACTGGGGGGTCACGAGAAATTATCTTGTAGTGTGAGTCATAGAAATATCCAATCTTAACGTCCCCGATCTGCTTGGAGATCATCGTGACGCACTGATCAGGAAGGATTTTAAAACTCCTTTGGTTCAACTATTCAACAGAAACTTGTTTAAAACAGCGGTAAGTAAACTCACAGTATAAACTCCTAAAGTCATCGGTGACGCTCTTTGAGTGTGAGCTAGAGCACGCAAGAGGTAGAGAGCGAGCAGGGAGACAGGGAGGTGTCTGATTGGTTCATCAGATTGGTTCCTCGTAGCAGACATTGGTTGAAGTTTTTACAGACTTACAAACTGATACAGATGACAGATTGTCTTTGTTCCTTTTTCAGAGAACATGAGTTATTAATTTCTGTCAGGACCTAAAGACAATTTACACCAAAATCTAAAAAAGTGGATCTGGAGGAAATGACCAACCCTGACTTAATGTAAAACTCAAAGACTCTGTTCTCTCTCCTCTTCCCTTAAATCTGTCTCCACCCTCTCTCTCTCTCTCTCTCTCTGCATTAATCACTCTCGCTCGTCCTCTCAGGGCAGGAGACCCTCAGCTAACGTGACTTCACCGTCACTTTGAATATCCTCACACACAGACGGGTTCCCGCTAAAACGACACCGACACTCAGGAAGAGGAACGTGTATTATTATTATTCTGCCTCTGCATGCTCTCAAAGATGCTTCCATTAAAATGTCACAACAGATCAGACGCAGTTTCTCATCTTTAATTTATGACTCAGGACGCGTCAGTTTTATTTATTTTGGGCTCATTACGGCGGATAAATGTTTGTTTGGTTTGTTGGTTATTTAAGGCCAAACAGTGTTTCCTCCTTAAAGCGTGCTGAGTAAAAAACACATTATCTCCTCATTCATGTTTCAATCCCACATGTTGCTTCACCTCAATGGTTTGCTTCCAAAAAAATTACAGACTGTAAATATGAATGTTTGAAGCATGAGTGACGTCACCCATTTGTTCCTGCAGGGGGCGCTAGAGCCCCATCGATGGTGGTCGCCATAACTGTTTGTCAGGAGGTTTAAAACCCGCCTCAGCTCCAGCTCTCAGCCTGTCGTTAGGTTGACTGAAAGTTAGACTGAGACAGCATTTCCAGCATGGAGACACCATCGATGGGACTCCAGCACCCCCTGCAGGAACAGACAGGGGGACGTCACTCAGGCTTCAAACATTAATATTTACAGTCTCTGCTCCCAGCACTCATATCTGCTGTTGCTTTGAATCCTCCTTTATGAAGCAGATTTAACAAACTCTAGAATTACATTCTGAGGTCATGAGGTTTGTGTAATCACTTTTTTATAAAGTTGATTTTTAATTCACCTGCATGATATCATGATGCCTTTAACATTTGGTTTTGGTTACTTTCACCCCTCAGACACGTCAGCAGTTAAGTTGTTTCTGCATCAAACTACAACCAACCAAATGCGTCAAAGGTAGATTAACTGTAGATTCTGTTCTGTGTTTTATCATCTTCTGACCTGCATGAGAGACTCTGCAGTCTCTACCTGACACAACCGTCAACTTACCTCACGTCATTTTTTTATTTTCCTTCATTTATTTGAGTATTTTGTCATTCACTGTTTTCTTTCAGATCCCGCTCCCCAACTTGTGCTCCCCCTGCCCTGAATGTGCTCACCTGTGTCTGGTGACCTCCTGATTGTCTGTGTATTTAACCCCGTGTGTCCTGCCTCTTGTTGCCAGTTCATGGTGTGATCTCTTGTGTTGCCTCGTTCCAGCCTTTATACTCAAGAGTGTTTTTCTGACCACTCCCATGCATCTCGTTTTTTTGGCCGCACCTTCTGGATTTGTTTGCACCGGTGACTGCTTACCTGTATGCCGACCTGGACTGTTTATTAAAAACCCTGCCTCGTGTGAGTCTGCATTTTTGGGTCCGTGTTTATATCTGGAGAGAACCAGATATCTTTAAACCCTTGTAGTTAATATTCTGTGTAGATAAAAGGTTAGCGTGTCAGGTAAGAGGAACTTGTGTCCCAGTAAATTTATTGTTGTTACTGTTCAGATTCTTTGGAAGTTTTTCAGTCAAATCTGACGGAACAAAGCAGCTGCTAGAAAAGGTCAAATTCTTGTCGAGAACAATTGACCTCCACGCTGCAAACAAGCTGAGAGTAACTTTCTCTGCAGCTTCACGGGGGATGCACTGACTGACTGAGAGAGGGAGGGAGGATTTAAAATGCATGTTGGCTCATCGAATTCCAGGTACAGTAAAATCAGGAGAAAATAAAACCTTGACATGTGTGCACGGCGGCCCACAGGTAGACTCAGACATCAGCGGCGTCATTGGGGGTGTCAGGAGATGCTCGGGGCGTGCTCATGATGCCGTCTGCTTTTTTCTTTCACAGTCTGAAAAGTAAACATTCCCCCGATTTCTGCAAGTCCTATACGCAGCATGCATCCATGAAGCCAGCACTCCCTGGGCGCCATCCTGCAGACGGCACACCTGCTCTGACCCAGAATAAAAACCCTGATCCTGAACTCACTGCTGGGTCTGTGCAGAATTAAAGCGAGACGGAGCGAAGGCAGAACATACATCTTTATCTGCGTCCACTTACAAAAGGTTAGCGCTCATATTGCTCAAACGTTAGCTGATAAATGTCCCGCTAACTCTCAAAATTTCCACGGCGGGGGGCACATTTGTCATCGTTGAGATGGCGGGCAGAGTCGGGCACAGATGGGAACTCCTCCCTCACGCTGGCGTTGACGTACGAGCTGCAGGTCGAACCAGATGAGCATACGGAGATTGATATCTTCTGGATGTGAACCAGAGAGAGGCTCAGCTCGGGAGGAGCGATGAGACTTAATGAATCGGAGGCTAATTCGGTGGAAAAGTTGCAGGGAAGTAAAACTTCCTGTTGCCGGAAACTGACAGATTGACATCACATGATATTTCAGAGAGGAGGAAAAGGCGAGGAGCTGCAGGAGGGGGGGCGGGGGGACATTCAGGAGAATTGAAGGAATCACTTGGTGTTTCTTTGGGTATTTTTCAAACTGAACACAATTATTTAAAATCCTTTTTCTCCTCCTGTCGGATCTGAACAGGAACATGTGTAACACCGAGGCTACATGACAGCGAGCTGCTGAGTCTTGGTGAGCCACAGAGAGGTTCTGCCTTCTGACAGATACTTAAATTAGACCCAGAGTAAAAAAGCAGATTCCCGTCCTGTTCAGGACATTAAATATTCAGGTGTTACTTTGAAAGCACAACTTTACAAGCTGACAATTATTTCAAAATGTAAACACACAACAGAAACGTACTGGAGTCGATCAAAGCTTCTCTAAATGCAAATCGTTCAGACCTGTTAACTCGCTTAAAGCAGCAGAGAGAAAGTCTGAAATAGATCTGTTGTTTTCTTTAAACCCAGTCCAGTTCTCCTAAAGGTTTAATCTGGATCAGAATGATCAGGATTTATATTGTTATCCATGATCTGTTAATCTAGATTAGTTGTCCTTCTTTTCGACACACTCCACACAAAATGAAACATCCTCCTTTAAAGGTCATATATCTTCATCATCAACCAGTTTAAATAAGTCTCCGAGCTCATGATTTGATCATGTCTATAAACCTCTCTATTTCAACCCTGCTCAGAACAGGCTGTTTCTGTGTCTGTACCTTTAAATATGTAAATGAGCTGTGTCTGACCACGCCCCATCTCTGGAAGGGCTTGGGTGTCTCGGTCTTTCTCGCTCCATGTCCTATTGTTTACGGTGAGAAGGCAGACTCAGAGGGCAGAACAAACACCTAGCTGTGGGAGTGTCACCCACCTGGGGGAGGGGTTACTGCCCTTTGTGATGTCATGAAGGGAAAATCTCCAAACAGCCTGTTTGAGCACACATTTTGTAGAAAGTGGAGCAGACAAAAGACAGAGAGACTTTTCTCATCATTGGGGGTTTGTGGACAGACTAGAGACACATATTAGAGGAACATGGAGAAGTGGAGTTCACATCATAAAATGTGACCTTTAAGTTTGCATTTTTGATTTTGAATCTTTACCCAAGCTGTGACTGACGTGAACCCTGAGCTCACACCGCGAGATGAGTAAAACCAATCAGACGTCCACATGTTGAGTTGTGATGGCTGCAGAGGTGAGAGGTTGGCTCTGAGGTTTACTCTCTGTAATCACACAGACAGAGACCGTGAAGGAAAGCTAACCTGGCCTCATCTTTCCTCCAGACTGTGGTCTGCTTGCTTTGTTTGCCGTCTCCTCCGGACTCTGGATTTCAGAGCTGGTGTTGACAGCTCGTCATCTGCTGCAGAGCCAATCAGGGCGCACGCACACACACCCTCTGCTGTCTGCATTCAGTCACCTGTCAGAAGTTCCTGATCAGGTGTGATAGTCTGACTGGAGTGTTTGAGACTGTGATTAGAAGAAAAACACAGACGCAGTCAGTTTAATAAAAAATATGTTTTATTTGTTAATAAATGAAGACGACGACATCATCAACCCGTCACCTGAAAGTCAGTGAAACAAGAAGAAAGAGGCGGGAACACAGAGTTTAGAGTCAAACGTATTTCAGGGAACAACAGAAGCTTTCTGCAGAATCCTTTACAAATGTAGTCTACAGTACAGGATGCATGGATCGTACCAAATCACTACACTTCTTTTATTTTTCCAAAAGGATATTCCCCGTTAAGGATACACATGGTTCTGCTGGGCCTCAAAATCAAGCCTCTGCACCTCAACTACATCGAGTATAAACACAAATGTAAGAAGAAGGTGTCATTGTGGCGCGTTGTACACACTCTACAACACACACAGTATAATATGGTCCCGTCCGCTGCAGGTCAGAGCGTCATCCCATCTCACTCACCTGCAGAGGTCATCGTTGTTTCGCTCCTCTCTTGGTTTCTGTGTTGTCTGCTTTCGGTCGTGCAGATCTGGCAAATTGCTGTGGAATTACAGTTAAGGATCACAGACGGTGAATGGTTCAATATAACAGGTGAAAGGTTTAAATACACTGATTCAGCAGCTCCTTCTTCTTTAGGCAGGAACTTTAACCTTCTCTAAAAAGGTTTTTTTTTTTTTTTTCTTTTCCACTAGGGCTTCATTTCAGTTTGGGGTCAAATTGACACAAAACATTTTTGGACTTCTTCAGCCTGCAGCCGTGAAACAGGCTGTGATGTCTGAAACATAATGCTCGATCAATCAAAGAACGATCGCTAAAGGTTGTTGCTTTTATCACTGACAGGCCCGGGTCTCATTATAACTAGCGGTTTCCAAAGGATCAGCGTGTTCAGCATTCCAGCGCTGCTGCTGTTTTGCTCTATCTGACTATCTATCTTATTTATTGAGACCCCAAAACATGTAACAGAAAAGTTTAGGAATACTGACATTTAAGAACCATGGATTCTTCACACAGACTGAAACCTCATTAAAAACAGTGTCAGCTTCATGGGCAAGTTCAGTCTGAACATTTATACCACACTCATATGGTACATATGGTACCATGTTTCCCTCCTCGAGTTGAAGCAGCAGCTTTCAGCCACAGGGACCCTCCTGCTTCAGACAGGTGAACCTCCTTCTGAATTTAATTTAAGAGAAGGGTGACGCTGTTTGCTCAGAAATGCCAGACGGCAATAAACTGGACCTCACAGAAGGAGCAGAGTGTCTTGATTTCCTGATGTTCAGCTCTCTAACTCAGTCGCTCACACAGATTGACAAGTTGTTCCATATTTTAAATGTGAGGGAAGACGACAGCAGAGCAGGCCGTTAATAAAGCAACATTTCATGCAGGTTTTTCCTTCAGCTCACCCACTTTGGCAGCAGGTTGTTTGAGGATTTTCAGAGAAGTATCATTCTGCAGTCTCAGGCCAGCACTGAAAAAATCATGACAGTGAATCTAACGTGGGACTGGCTGTCAGCTGTAACTGTTTAAAAAGACATCAGTACCAGGATGAACCTTCACTCCACTTTCTGATGCTACAAACTTAAGAAGAAAAACTATGTCCTTTAAACACACGCTGAGTTCTCTTTACAACTCTTTAAGCACCCTGATTATCACACTGAGACAACATGAACGCAGAAGGCTGCAAGTATGAGAAAAACATGCAAACTAAAGTTTGGAGTCCCATCGATGGCGGTCTCCGTGCTGGAAATGCTGTCTCAGTCTAACTTTCAGTCAACCTAACGACAGGCTGAGAGCTGGAGCTGAGGCGGGTTTTAAACCTCCTGACAAACCGTTACACCGCGCCCACCTGTCAATCAGGTCAGCTACACGCCTTATTGTGAATAACTCTTATCCTTCATCAAATCAAAACTGATGAGTCATCAAAAATCTCAATCCACAGCCTCCAAACGAGTTCTTAAACGGCAGCTAAACAACACACCTGTGATGTTTTGGTTTTTAACTGACAAGATATGAAGCTGGAGATGACATCTTCAGGTGAACATCACTGCAGACTTCACGTTTCATTCTTTGAACTCGAACACTAACACACCGTCACAGAGCTAAGAGGTCAGGACTAACCTTGTTTCATCACACAGGTTCAAAAGCTGACGATCAATTATCAGAGGAGGAGCAGGTGGTGCTTCAGGGCTGCCAGAAATTAAACCAAGCAGATGACACATCTGTGAGGGGAGGGGTCCAACTTCATTACCACCACGTCTCCACCTCTTAGCTGCCCCCCTTCATGTATGATCTGAGACCTGAATACAGATTTATAGATTGTGTCTATGTTTGTTTGTATTTCTCGAAAAGCGGCATATTAAAGGAGCTGTATAGAATTCTAAAATGGGTACTGCAGTCCAAATTCTAAACATTGTGGAGAGCTGTCTCCCCCCCTCTCTAGAGTTGATGCTCACGCAGGTTGACATGTGGTGGACACTGAAGCTTCAGTGTTTATCCAGCTCTGCATCGGTCTGCATTGGAGGACATACTGGCTGCTGCATTGTTGTCAGAGAAGCCAGCACTTCAAATTGGCATGTTTCCTTAATGTCTGATCAGATAGTAAGATACCTTTATCATCTCACTCACTACACAGCTCACTGATTGGACCTTTAAGAAAGAATAAAGGATCTACAGATCACCCAAAAGGTTATTGGGCAAGTTAAGTGTTTCTATGTCCTGATTTCTAGATTTAAAAATGGCTGTGCAATTTCTGCACGTAGAACTAGGGATAGTTTTCTTGAAAGCCTCTTCTACATTTGCAAATACCAATTCCCCTTATCATTTTCTTCCTGGGGAATTTAAACATCAATCCACACATAATATACCCAGCTCTACACATTAAACCACAATTTTTCTGCTCCTCATAAATTTCTCGACCTTGCTCCGTCTTGGTAGAGGGATAAAAGGATACCACGACGAGGGGTTTGTCAAACAGAACGTAGCCGTTGGTTTCCCGCAGGGCTTTCTCCGCACTCTGCTCACTGGGGAGTCCTACGAAGGCCTGTCCTTTCATCCGGCCCTCCTTCATTAACACAATGTCAAACCTGAAGAAAAACCAAAACAGGGACACGTCATTATCAGAATCACCTCGGGCTGGTGGCTGAGCAGAGCCAACATTCTACTGTAGCTGTTTAGATCTTGTTAGAGCCATTTGTGTGTTCAGTATGTATGTGTGCTCTGTGGTAGTTCCTTGTGGTGACAGTAGGGGGCACATTCACTTTGGTGTTGGGAAGGTTACAAGTAGAGGAAGAGTTAATCACGGACAGGTGAGCAGCCCACCGTGAGAGGCACACAGTTTTTTGACCGCTGTATGAAATGTATCGTGAATGGAACATTTATCCTGGCTTTGTTTTACATTCAAGTTATAGTGGAATAAGTGTATGTAGACGACCAGAATATGCATTGTAAATGAACGATTCAGATAAACCCGTTTGAGTGTGACAGCACGGAGTTGATCGAGTTATTGCCACGAAACACGGAAACAGCGCGTCAATTAAGTACGGTAGGCTATCAGCCCCTCAGTGGCAAACTTTTGATACGCAAGATCAAGCCACTACAGATCTTATTCTGCATCCAGGTACAATATTGGTCATCACTTAGTTTGGCATGAGAACCAGAAATCTGCAGAAATCCCTCGCCCCCCCTCCCGTCTGACAGGGATGTTCTCTGTCTGTGAGGTGCATGTGTGAACAAATATTTCAGTCCAATTATCTAGATGTTTTAAGAAGTGCATTTGCAAAAAGAGTTAATATCTCTCTCTCTTTCAAATATTTGAATCAGACATTTGGTGCTGTTTATGAGTCTTCAGTGTGAAGAAACCAAAACATGTGAGGGATAAAGCGGCCACAGACCCTATTCCTCTGTTCTTCATATCTTAAATACAGTATCTCACAAAAGTGAGTACACCCCTCACATTTCTGCAAATACTTTATTATATCTTTTCATGGGACAACACTGAAGAAATTAAAATTTGCTACAATGTAAAGTAGTCAGGGTACAGCTTGTATAACAGTGTAAATTTACTGTCCCCTCAAAATAACTCAACACACAGCTATTAATGTCTAAACCGCAGGCAACAAAAAGTAAGTACACCCCAAAGTGAAAATGTCCAAATAGTGCCCAAAGTGTCATTATTTTGTGTGGCCACCATTATTTTCCAGCACTGCCTTAACCCTCTTGGGCATGGAGTTCACCAGAGCTTCACAGGTTGCCACTGGAATCCTCTTCCACTCCTCCATGACGACATCACAGAGCTGGTGGATGTTAGAGACCTTGCGCTCCTCCGCCTTCCATTTGAGGACACCCCACAGATGCTCAATAGTCAAAGTCAACTTTATTGTCAATTTCAAAACCCTATAAATAGGGTTTAGGTCTGGAGACGTGCTTGGCCAGTCCGTCACCTTTACCCTCGGCTTCTTTAGCAAAGCAGTGGTCGTCTTGGAGGTGTGTTTGGGGTCGTTATCATGTTGGAATACTGCCCTGTGGCCCAGTTTCTGAAGGGAGGGGATCATGCTCTGCTTCAGTATGTCACAATACATGTTGGCATTTATGGTTCCCTCAATGAACTGTAGCTCCCCAGTGCCGGCAGCACTCATGCAGCCCCAGACCATGACACTCCCACCACCATGCTTGACTGTAGGCAAGACACACTTATCTTTGTACTCCTTACCTGGTTGCCGCCACACATGCTTGGCACCATCTGAACCAAATAAGTTTATCTTGGTCTCATCAGACCACAGGACATGGTTTCAGTAGTCCATGTCCTTAGTCTGCTTGTCTTCAGCAAACTGTTTGTTGGCTTTCTTGTGCATCATCTTTAGAAGAGACTTCCTTCTGGGACACAGCCATGCAGACCAATTTCATGCAGTATGCAGCGTATGGTCTGAGCACTGACAGGCTGACCCCCCCCCACCCCTTCAACCTCTGCAGCAATGCTGGCAGCACTCATACGTCTATTTTCCAAAGACAACCTCTGGATACAACGCTGAGCACATGCACTCAACTTCTTTGGTTGACCATGACGAGGCCTGTTCTGAGTGGAACTTGTCCTGTTAAACTGCTGTATGGTCTTAGCCACGGTGCTGCAGCTCAGTTTCAGGTGTTGGCAATCTTCTTATAGCCTAGGCCATCTTTATGTAGAGCAACAATTCTTTTTTTAAGATCCTCAGAGAGTTCTTTGCCATAGGTGCCATGTTGAACTTCCAGTGACCAGTATGAGAGTGAGAGAGTGATAACACCAAATTTAACAAACTGCTCCCATTCACACCCGAGACCTTGTAACACTAACGAGTCACATGACACCGGGGAGGGAAAATGGCTAATTGGGCACTATTTGGACATTTTCACTTAGGGGTGTACTCACTTTTGTTGCAAGCGGTTTAATTGCTGTGTGTTGAGTTATTTGAGGGGACAGCAAATTTACACTGTTATACAAGCTGTACACTGACTACTTTACATTGTTTTAAAGTGTCATTTCTTCAGTGTTGTCCCATGAAAAGATATAATAAAGTATTTGCAGAAATGTGAGGGGTGTACTCACTTTTGTGAGATACTGTATGTCTGCTTCTTCCTGCAGCATGGAAAACTCAGTTCTATGAAAAGAGCATCTTTCCAGCCGGTCACAACAGCTGATTTTAGTCAAGATGATTTGTGTTTTCTGTTTTTGTTGCTAGACAACTTTCCAAGTCTGAAATCATAACTCAACCTCGGCTCATAAATACTTTTCTCAAGCCGCCATGTTGACCTATACTTAAAGATTGTGATGTCTGAGCAAACCAACACAAATACAGATTAATGACAGCGCCTGTGCTGTGGATCCGTCTGTATTGACATTTAAAATAAGACGTCACAATGAAAGTCTGATGGGACAGAACAAAACTTTACTTTCCTGCAGCTTATGAACCATCCCTCATGTTGTAGTTTGAAAAATAAAATCTGAAGTCCTGTATGTCTCTGACCATGTTTTTGGCCCGTTAGTCTCCACCCTTCCGTCAAATAACTGGGTGTGATTTTTGACAGCTCCTTTAAATGTGATAAAGAGATTAGCTTAGTTGTCAGGAACAGCTGAGGGCCTGATCACACAGAGTAGGCGCGGCAGCTTCAAAAAAAGCTGAGTGGATCTGGGGAAAAAAGTGACATTGACGAGCGCTGCATCTCTGCGTCTTGAGCTGAAACGGCGAACATGTAACTTTTATGAGCACCCAAAATACGTCAGAAAAATGCGTCATGCAGCAGCAGAGAAGAGCGCCCAGCAAGAGCGCTGTACCAGAGGAAACCAACGGTTCTGCTAGCGACACTTTTCTAGCTTTGTGTCTCTGGGTGATCAGGCCTGTAGACTTTTGGGAAAGGTAAAGGCCTCTTCTTCCTCCAGTTGAAGATTACATCTGGATCAGACGTCTCCAGAACACAGCTGCACGTTGTCTGACTGTCAAGAGATGACGTGATCACATCACTCCTGTACCGACTTCTCTACACCGGCTTCCTGTCAGCTTCACAATCCAGTTCAAGATTCTATCACTTGTTTTCACCAACATGCTCCAGTCAGAGCGCTGCGGTCAACACACCGCGTCTTCAGCAGCGATTTAACATTTTCACGGTATTGAGCAGCTCTGATGTCCGCAGGTAAACCGGCACTGGATGCAGACTAACAACTGGATGTGTCAGAGCCTCTGCGATGGCCGCTCCATATTTGTGGAACAGTTTACCTGTGGACATCAGAGCTGCTCAATCCATCCAAAATGTTTTGAAACGTTCTCATGCTCCTGTTAATTGTGTCATTTAATGTGTTTTAATTTCTCTTTTGATTAATATTCATCCTCTCATATTGTTTTTAAATCTTTACAGCACTCCGGTTGAACTGATGTTGCTGCTTTGATTTCTGACTTGACCGCCGCCGCTTCAAAGATTCAATCTTTGTGACTCTGGCTTCGAACTTTTACTGCAGTCTGCGTTCAGAGTCTGTCCCTGGTCAACATGAGCCCGGTCTGATGACTCAGGTGGAATATTCATTTCAAGTTCTGCTGATGCACAAACTTAAACTGTCCCTCGTGGTCCCCGCGTCCGGTTAAGATTCTTATTAATATCACAACCCTCAGTCAGCACGAATCGCTAAAAACTCTCAAGGGAAAGGGACAAATTACTGGAGTCAAAAACAGCTCCTGAGGGGGTCTGGAGGTTAATTTGAGGACCCAATGTATGGAGGCTGTAGCCCTCACAGCGGCCTGGGTTCAAGTCTGACCTGTGGCTCCTTTCCCGTATGTCATCCCCTCTCTCTCTCGCTCTCTCTCTCGCTCTCTCTCTCTCTCTCTCGCTCTCTCTCCAGTATCCGACACTAACCACAGTCCTGTCTCTACAATCGAGGCATACCCCCCCAAAAAATACATCTTTTAAAAATAATCAGCTCCAGAAGACAGGACGGAGGAGAGTGACGCTTGAGATATGTCGATATGTAATTAAGGTCAGGATGATCTGCAGGCTACATACATGTTCCTCTCCTCCTCTGACGACGGGTTGATGTAGCGTCCGTAGATGTACTTCAGGTCCTGGGACAGAAATGAATGACAAAAAAGCAATGATTCATTTTGTACAGAGGTTGCACAAGAAGCAATCAATGACACAGAAACGTCCGCATATTTAATTGATTTGTAACAGGACAATGAATTTCTAAAGAAAGAGCTCTTGGTGCACATACTTTCTCCCCCGCTTGTTTGGCGATATTCTTCACGTAAAGTCTGCAGGTGGGCTCTCCGGGTTCATAATTTTTATACACGGACATCCTTTTTATTTCTGTTGGAAACAAGAGAAGCAGAAAAAACACAACTTCATATTAAAAACAGGTACAAGACGTCACAGAGCTTTCAAACTCAGAGTGCATGTTTCTAATAAGCTCCACGAGCAGAAACGTGCTCAAACTAGGATCAATATTGGAGATGCTTTTGAAAAATGGAGAGAGGTTAGAACACAGAAAGGTTTACAGACGAATGCAGAGCTGGATAAACACTGAAGCTTCAGTGTCCACCACATGGTGACCTGTGTGAGACTCTAGAGAGGAGGGGGGGAGACAGCTCTACAATGTTTAGAATTTAGACTGCAGTACCCATTTGAAACACTAGGGGTCAGAGTTACATTTAATGGAGCCAGGAATGACCATATTAGGCATTGCTACTTCCAATCTGTCTCCTGTAAAATCTGTTATTTAGTAGCTGGCCATCACGCTGTGTTAAAGAAGACTTGAAACTCATTATGAAAATGTTAACAGAGGGAATAAATCAACGGAGGAGAAGCGAGATGTTATCACAGACTTCTTGAAATGAGTCGAGGAGAGCTGCCCCCTGCTGGACATGAGAAAACTGTAGGATTTAGATTTCTGTCTCCACTTTTTAAACGGCAAGCTGTGTTTTTTTGAAGACGACAAAGGGCAACTGGCAGCAGCTAATTACCACTTTTCCATAACAAACTATTTCCCTTCATCTCCTCAATCTGTATCGTCTTGGGATGATTTTAATCTTATAAAAGTAACGCTGATGTGAAAACTTTTCAGCCAAATCTCCACTTCCTTTAAGGAAATTGGCTTTTTCTGCAGTTGGAACTTTCTCTTTTTCGTTCAGCCATGATGCTCACAGTAACTGCCAAATCTTTCTAATATGCATCTCAAAGAGAGAGTTGTCTTTTTTCTACTTGTGTTGCATTGCTTACATGAAGAATACAACTTTAGAGGGAGGAAAAGAAAGTCAGGGGTGTTTTAAATGGGAGCGTTAATCTTTTAACTTGATGTAGTTCGTCAGTCTGCAGTGCATGCTACAGAAAATTTTTTTGGGTGACTGAAACCTTTAAACCATCCAGCTTTTACAACATTTTCTGATCTGGGAGTAAATGCAAACCTCTAGAATATCTCCAGTTGCTAGGACCCAGGACCAACCAACGCATTGAAATGAAGACAGCGTGCAGGAGTTTGCCTGCATTATTGGTACTGAAATCTGGTGTACAGGACTTTTTACCTAAAAGTTTGCTGTGTCCTATATACCAGTGTTAAATGCTGACAGTCGTCCCGTCATTACCAAAGTGTAGCCACCACCAGCACACACTGCACTGCCCCTGACCAGCATCGTTCCTTACAGTTAGGGAACCTTCACTGTGCTTAGAGGCATGATGTTTACCATCTCTTGACAGCCGGCCTTTCTCCAGCTCCTTCCTGGAGATGATGTCCGACGTCAGGTCGTGCTCGTCGTCACTGTGCTCCTTCTGCTGCTGTGACGTTGGGGCGGTAGGATAAAGCTTCCCAAAGCCTTCGGCTTCTGTCCCCTCCTGACTGACATCCCTCTCGTCACCATCTGCAGGGACACAGAGCATGATCAGGACATACACAGCATCTTAAAATCTGATTATCAAGCTGTTTATAATTCTGCAATAACACTGAAAGGAGCTGAAGTATTTCAAATCATGTGCCACTGGGCTGAAAATGCTGATTTGGTTTGGTTTAGAAAACAGGAAGAAAGCCCCCCCTCCTCCCTTCAGAACAAATACAGATGGAGGTCTTCAAAGTGTCGAAACAAAAGCAGATGGTGAAATAATCGCTTCCACGCTGTTTATCCTCTTCAGCAAAACAAACAAACTCAAGATGGGAGAGCAGAAGCAACTTCTCCTGGTCCAATAAGTTTAAAATAAGGAGGATTAAAATCTCGCACTGAGATATGACATCGTAATAAATAAACTGGTTTCAACTTGAGAGTTCTCTCTCAGGGTTTCATACAAAGGAAGTTGCTTTTGGCTGAAGAAATGTGTTAAAGGTTTGTTCCATGCTTATTTCAGGATCTCAAAGTTTTGACATTTTTGCACTTCAGGCTGCAACTTTATCTCTCAGGACATTTGCACCAAATCAAAGTGCGCGGTCCAGTAAAACTTGTTTATAGTCCCCCGACAGGCTCAGATTGTTTATATCTGGTTTGATAGTTCTAGCTAGCTTCTCGGAGTGTAGCAGAAGAACTCAGCTGTTTGTAGGCAGGCCAGAGCAGGAAGAGCAAACTACCTTTGGTGAAGGCAGTCAAACCGGTATCTGTGCTATTAGCGCTCAGCAACAGAGGTGTTAGCTCGAGTCTGCAAGCAGTTAAGCTTTTTGAATTTCCCTCGGGCTCAATGAAGCATCTATCTATCTATCTATCTATCTATCTATCTATGTATCTATCTATGTATCTATCTAAGCTAGTTAGTCGGGAAACAGGTATGTAAGGTTTTCTTCTGAACTCAGAAGAGGTGTTTGAATGATGAATGACGCTGCGTCAGGGTTATATAAAGACAGGGGCACTAACACAGACGACTCAGGGCTGGCGTACTGGTTCCTGTGAATACGTGCGAGGGGTGTAATTAAATGGTTAATGATATTGAGCTTTAGGGTGGAATTTATTTTCTAGTCTTCTGACTACTCAAAGCACTTTTACACCGCAGGTCACACCTACACATTCACACTCCGCTGTCGAAGAAGTGGGAGCAACTTGGGGTTAAGTGTCTTGCCCAAGGACACATCGGATATGTGGCTGCAGGAGCTAGGGATCAAACCCCCGACCCTTCCGGTTAAGAGACAGCGGTCTATCTCCTTTCTGTAATGTTGTCACAGACCTAGAATACCAATCTGAGCCCGTCACTTCGAATAGATGCAGGATTCCGCTGCAGCCATTACAGCCTGTAATGTGTTGCAGCTTAATTAATCTACTGGAGAAATTCTAAACGTTTCACGACTTATTAGCCATCCAGACCCCCAAAAATGTAAAATATGAGGCGTAGGTTTTATAAGTATTACAGTTCCTGTTAAAGAGGAAACTGGTTACCTAACAAATCAAGGATCGAGGCGTAAGCACCCTCAGTCTGTGTTAAATAAAAAACTGTAATCAAATCAAAATCCAGTCCTGTTTGGGAAACATGAGTATGAAAGGCAGAGGGAGGGAGCACTGGCAGACGAAGAAGGAGCGTGTGCACGCACACACACATACACACACACACTGTAGATGGAATTACTAAGAGCAGTGAGCCTGTTCAAATCCGAAGAGGAAGAAAAGCTTGTCATCCACATGAGGTGTGTGTGTGTGTGTGTGTGTGTGTGTGTGTGTTAGTGTGTGCACTGGAGCGAGAAGTGTTCGGAGCTTTCCTGATACACTCTCGTGGAGAACTAGATCACCATCCTCCCTCTTATCTGTCTCCCACCTCCTCCCCCTTTTCATTTAAATGGCTTGTTTATCGGCTCCCCCTCTCCTCCCCCTCCCCTCCCCTCCACCTGCAAAACAAGACTAATCCAAAAAAGCCACCTGTCATAGTTTATCTTTCTCCTGCCTTTAGGAAAGCTTTTTGTGTTTGACTTTGAGATCTATTTTACTCCTCAGGAAGTTGCCAGGCAGGGAAGTTACAGCTGAAGAGAGAGAGAGAGGGGCGAGATAAGGAAAACAGGAAACTGCACAAGATGACAAGTAACACCGACTCTGCCCCTCGATGACATTTCCTCACAGATCGTGGTAAAACCTTTTTTCTGTGAAAGTCTCTGCTGTGATTCACGGCTGTGTAACATTCGACTTCAGCCATAGGAAGACTTTCAATCACACCGAAGACGCTTCTGTTTCCGTATGATAATAAACCTAAAGAAATCATCGATCATTACGGATTCCTCCTTTTTATTTGCAGATCAAGAATCATCTGTTTAATTTGTTCACACTCCTATTTTATCAAGAAGCTTTTTATTTATTTATTTGTCTTTCAGCCTAATTGCTTTGGCATTGCTTCGTTCTAAGCTGCATTTAATCATTAATGGATAAATGTGGGGAAACGGTGAATACTGATCGACTTTTAAGGAGGAACAAACAATTAGTCACCCGACAGAAGATCCATACACACTTGTCTTTGATACTTTTATAAGCATTTACAACAAGTTTTTGCAGATTCCTGACACTGAAGCATGAAGATGTGTCATCGTAAATATCTTTAATTTATTATTGTAGTTTTGGATGGGCAACAGGGGATATTTAAGGTGCTACCCTGTACACGTTTTTTTTTAATCATGTTTTAAAAACAAAGTGGCCCATTGTTCTTAAAGTCCCGCCATCACATAAAACCTCACGTTGGAGATAATAACTTGAGGACAAAGCCGTTGTTGCAGAATCAATATGGCCACACATACTGGGACACTCCCTTATATGACTGTGAATTTAATATTCAGGGGTTTTGAGCTGCAGGTCAGTCAATGTAAGAACCTCAAAGATATCACCTTTGGGGTTTTATAATATTTTGCTGGACGCTGACGAAAAGGTTAGTGAACTGAGAAACAAACAAAAAACAACCAACAGAAGAATGAAAATAATCAAAAAGCTGCTGGAGGGAATACGTCAGGTAGAAATGTGTCAGCAGAGCCTTTACCTTTGTCGGCATCATCAGGCTGACCCCGCCCACTTCCCTCCATCATGGCTGCCACCTCAGGAACAGAAATGTGGAACTCGATTTTCTTGGGCCCGGCGGGTTGAGGCTGCTCAAACACGTCAGAGGGCTGCAGCATCGGAGCACTGAGGACAGAAACACAATCAGCTCCGCAACCTCAACACATACCCACAGTAAAGCAGACACTGAGCGGCTTAAGGGCCGGATATCGTGTTCTGGTCAAGCACAGATATTTCCCAGTGTGCTAACGTGCTGTCAGCAGACGCTCAGGTGTGTGTATTTATAGTTAACAGAGTTTGTGGTCTGTCATTAAGGGAGTGTGTGCATGTGTGCTGCTGAGACAATAAGTCTCAGAGCCACCTCTGGGTTGGGTTTATGAGGAGGGCTTATTGTCTGGAGGTTTTTTGTCTTCCTTTTTTTAGCTGCCTGTGATTACTGTCTCGAGATGAGCCGTGCGTGAGGACGGTGACATGCATGAGTGGCTCGCTGTACCTCTGAGAGTCTGGTTTGGGAGCATAGAGCAGATCCTTGATCCTGGGTTTCTTTCTCTTTGAAGCTGTTTTTGGTCTCAGGGGTCTCTTGCACGCTTGGTTGACCAGACCCATCAGACGAACAATCCTGAAATAAAGCAAGCATGGGGATAAAGCTTCAGACATAAAGAGTAGAATGTAAAAACACATTCCCCTTAAAACCAGTCGTGTCTCTAAAACAGTGAGGTCTTCTGAATCCTCGACTTGATGAGAAAATCAAAATGACATCAGATAACTCGAGTGGTTTCCCGCTCCTCACCTCTCCTTGTCCTCGTCGTCCTCACTCTCATACTCTGATTCTTCCTCACTGGACAGCTCCATCTCCTCCTCAGGTAAAGGGGGGAAGTCGGGAGGGAAGGGGGGAGGCATGGGGATGGGCGGGGCAGGAGGCAGGAACTCATACTGCAGAAAACAACAGTGTAATTAGTTTGTGGTTAAACGGACTGATTTTTTTTTTTTGCTTTATGTCTGAGCAACATTTGGATTAATTAGTCTGAAGACGAAATCATCATTTTCAAACGACAGCCGGCAACATTTTTAACATCACAGCAGGGAAAATGATTGCATGTTTCAGTTAACTGCTCTGACATGATGAGAGAAGTCAAACATCACTTCCTGCTTCCTACACCTCCTATTTAATTTTGATTCATTTTATCTATGATGTTTAGATTTTTATTTTGTATGACCTACTTCTGTCTTTGTGCTGCTGCAACTCCTGCATTTTCCCTCTGGGGATCAATTAAGTATTATCTTATCTTAATCACAGTAATGATGTGATAATCCATAGTCCATCCAATCTGAGATCAAGATAAGACCCAGTAAAAATGCTTTTGATTCTCGTAAGAGACCAAGACCTATAAAAAGTGGTCTCCAGACCAAGACCGACCTTGAGAACTCAGGGCTTTTCATGTACCGTCACATGGCCCTCGTCAACATATATGAGGGAATAGTGTTTTTGTACTTTTATTTATGATCCCCAGTCACTGAATGATTAAAGTAAAAGCCTTGTAGCTACATTTTTTTTAGAGGTACAGGAGAGCAGTTTGAGGTAATGAACTTAAAAACTAAATAAATAAGCCACTGATCGCTGAGGGAGCAGCCCACTTTCTTCACTTTACATTTTACACCGTTTCTACTGCAGCTTTAAATACCAGCCTCATTTAGCAAAACGTTTATCTTGTGTTCAGGATGATTCTGGTACTTTAAAGAACCAATCAGTAACATATGATAAAGGTATCTTACTGTATGATCAGACATTAAGGAAACATGCTATGTTGAAGTGCTGGCTTCTCTGACAACAATGCAGCAGTCAGTATGTCCTCCTTCTAACTTTAGATTCTGCTCCTGAATGCTCTGGATTTGTTTGGACCAGAGAAGGTAGATGGTTTTAAGGCACCCCCACACGGCCGTTTGGGACGCCCCTCGGTTTGCCAGATATCAGAGCAGTTATAAAGGAGGGGACAGGGGGAGTCGGCTCTATCCAATGTTTTGAATTTGGACAGCAGTACCCATTTTAAACACTAGGTGTCAGAGTTAAATACTGCTCCTTTAATGGAGCCAGGACTGACCATGTGTGGACGAGATATGGTGAGGCATCGCTACCTCCAACTCTAGGGAGGAAGGGGCGGGGGGACACAGGTCTCTCTCACCTTGGCTTTTTTTTTTTATAACATATTTAGTTGTCTATTTGAAAATATGAGGAGTTTCAGAAAACTTGATTTTAAGTGAAAAGATTCAGACAGAGAAAATATCTTTCCGATCATTTTTAAAACCACCAGATTCCGTTAACAAAAACCTTGAAGAACGCAGAGTTATACTTTCTATGTTTCTGTTTATTTTGAGCTGTTAATATTTTGTTTTGGATCTGAACTCTCCAGAATAACCCTTAAAAAATACATTGACTGATATCTAAATCCTCTAAAAATGACTCAAGCCAGCAGAAAGCTCACCAGGGGGGGTCTGGTAGTGACGGGGCCAAACGGACATGGTAAATTCATCTTGTTCATCAGATGGAGTACCTGTGTAAATGAAGATATGAGCATTAGAACAGAGATAGCTGTATCTACAGATTCCTCCCGGGGCTGCGGGGGAGCAGCTCGTATAAATAAACTGCCTCCTCTCAAACAGGCAGCCTGTAACTCGGGCTCCATATGCAAAACAGATTGCAAGGCTTTTTGCATTTTCACTTAAAATACTAGGATCAAGGTGAGATTGAGGCTGGAGTGAGATAGCAGCAGTGAGGCTGAGCGTGAAAACAACCTCTCTCTGTGGCACGCCAGCACCACCAAGACGCCAAAGCTGGAAATAGCAGCGCTTAAGATCCAGGCAGACACAGCACAGCTCCCAGGGAAATGTTAAACTCATAACTCATGCCTCCCACTTATGGTTTATTATTAATACTTGCTCCCCAAATTGAAATTTAAAAGGCAAATGTTTGCTGTTTGATCTTTAAGAGGTTGGATGCAGTTCAAAAACCTCTGGGACATTTTTTCTAGATCCATATTTCTGTTTTTACGACGAGAGATGCTGGCACATTTACATCTCTTCACAAACACAAGCAAACAAACGTGGTGACACAGGGAGAGGGTTTTACACAAAGGACAAGCAGGTAGTGTGGGATAAATACATGATCTAAGAAGAAGCAGAATTCACTCACTTGAACATAAAACTTTGGCACACTGATGAGAGCATGTGTTATATTTGTCAGGACGCCATTAGAAGGAGGAGGATATAAATATTTCAGAGTGGGACTGGACGGGAATTTCAGCCTGTATGAGAGAGAGAGAGAGAGAGAGAGAGAGAGAGAGAGAGAGTGAGAGAGAGAGAGAGAGAGAGGGAAGGAGAGGAAAGACTAAATTACTTAAGAGGTAATTTTGCAGCTTTACCTGCAAATATCAGGAGTTTTTCAGGAGTTTTCTGCAAGTGTGAAAGCCCGCATTGATTCTAGCACAGACAGGACTCACTCCATCCTACAATGAATGCTGCTTAATAAAAAGTGCTGGGTGGCCTCAACAGGTGGGCTAATAAAATACGTGTTCCTGAAGTGCTGCGTTTCAGCTTCTTTGGCAGAGTCTATCATATCAGGAACTGGAGAACTTCCCTGTCAGGACAGACTGTCAGTGTTGGAGAGAGACATATCAAAAACCACCTGGTTTCACCAACTGGCGGTACAGACGGCCTATCAGATCTCAACAGAGGCCCCAACATCTAATTGGACACAAGACTGCTGACAGCTCCAAACTACAGCTCTCAGATTCACATCCAGGTTTACTGTCAGCCTGCAGGCAGCTTCTCCACACTAACAGAGTAAACACCTTGACCAGGTGGAACAGCATGCATTCACGTATGATTCAATGATTAGAAGAGTTCTCTTTACACTTACCCGAGGTCAGGAGCAACGCCGGTCTCTATAAGAGGAATATTTAGCTGTTTGGCTTCTTGTTTCTTCTGCTCCGCTTTAATATTTTTACCACTATGGAAACAAACACATGTGACAGAAATGATAAATATACAGCTTCATGTTTATGATGATTGTTTACATGCTTACAATTCTTATTTATGTGTAACACCAATACACAATCATCAGACCGAGTCAGTTTGACTTTAGCACTGCAGACAGATTTTCATTCAAAGCTTGTTTAAAGTCGAAAATGCTGGATGCTCAAACTAAATGTGGGCAAAAGTTCAGATCATGAGGTAAACAAATGTTGGAGTAATCCCAGGATAAGTCTGCAGAGGGCGCTAAATGGCTTGTTCTGCAAATCACGCCATAATTCCCTGATATAAAACCAAGAATTTCACCAGACAGCATCAAGCATCGACGTAAGCAACATAGTGATATCCTCTTGTATGTCATACAGTTAAGGTTTGTGCGGTTAAGTACATGACAGACGGATCAGAGATGCCGCGCCATAATGAGCGACATGAGCCTGGATCTCCCTTTCCTTGATTTATGGTAAATACACACATATGCATTTGGACAGGTGTGCACTGAGAGCGAAAAGGACTGCCTGCCAGTGCAGTGTTTCCTGCACCGATCGGCCCAACCAGGGGCATTTACAGCCACTGTAAAGTGGCTGACCATTTAAGCATTTTAATCTTTATCTTTATCTGCATGACATAGCCATCCGTGACCGATATGCTATACTACAGTCTCCCTTTTCTCTGAACTCCTCGTGTGTATGTCGCTCAGCATCTGACTGTGTTGAGCATCCTGCACGAATGGATTGTTCTGATACGCTCATTAACAAGGCTCGTCTGCAAATGATCAAAACGGACCCGCTTGAAACCTTTCATGAGCCTACTGCACGAGCAAAGACACCAAATACAACAGCCCCGTCATTACTTACCTGCTCGACACTGGTGGGTCCGTTAATACAGTCACATGATCCTGTCCTTTTGCAAACTCTACAACAAGCGTACGATCAAGAACCTCTAACTGATGGAGCCTGCTGAGTGCCTAAAACAGACAACAAGGGGGTTGTAAGGTTATAGGGCAGGTTAAGATCATTACTGCTGTAACTTCATGCAACAAAACCTTTTTAAATATGTTTTTATTACATACACTACACAGATAACTCACCTTTGCTGCAGACCTCTCACTTTTGAAGGATGCAAAGGCTGCGTGTTTCTGTGGAGATGGAAAAACCTGTTTAGACTGGACAGCAGCGAAAGTCAATTTTGAGAAGATGTCACTGGATATCAGTGATTCACGACCTACCAATCGACCTGTGTTTGAGAAGACCCGGACTGAATCAGCTCCAAAATACTTCAGGAGGTCTTCCTTCTCCTCCTGCGTGAGCTCAGCTGGTAAATGGCGCACAAGCAGCGTTTTGCTGCCGTTAGTTTGGACCTGCTCGTCATTCCTCTCCATTTCTCTGTCAGCAAGAGAACAAACAACACAGGTAAGAAAACACACGACTCAGACCAGGGATGCTGCACACTTATTCAAATCAAATTGAAGACTTTTAAAAGTATATTATATATATATATATATATGTCACTCCGCCACCAGGAGGCTCTTAATCAAAACAATAACAAAAGAAGACTTTGAGGCTGGTAGGGAATCATGGTAGAGAGTATTGTTCTCCCTCAGAGTGTTTTCAGAACATTTGAATAAAATAAATGATGAGGATGAAAAAAATCTAACAAAACTGACACCCGTTTCGATAACATGGCAACACAAATAGATTGTCCTCAGCACGCAATATTGGGAAATTTCTTGGTTTGAATTATCAAAAATTGCAGGCAACCTCCTGGAAACTGTCGAAAGTGCAAAAATAAGTGACGTAGTTGTGTAATGTGAACAGTGGTGCTATTATTGTTGGATTTATTCCTCAACTGTGTAATGAAACAGTACATTTCTCCTTCTCAAAGTGCCTATACTTATTGATATTATCAACCTTAATCATAACAGAGATTATAGTCTGAACATTTTAACAACCTTACATTAAAAACAATATGTGCGCTGCATGTTTGTTTCTTAAAGAGTTACACAAATAACAAAAATATTCTTCTTGTGTTTCTACATTTAGGCAGAAAACGAAATTACTTAATATTTCTAAAAACATCTCAAGTCTTGCTCTTTTCAATATAAATCTTTCCGATTTGTCGAACATTGTAAAACCGCCATAACTTTAAATGTAGCACCGTTAGTTAGCTCAGTGCTAACACCTGAACGAAGGTAAAAAGCGGCGATTTATCGCGTTTTTATAATTTAACTTAATTTTTAGCATCCCGCTCTCAGTTACCTTTGGACTTTAAGAAATAACTACAGCGTCTTGTTGGTACAAGTAGATAAATAACAGCTTAATTTAAAGGTAAATTGATTTATTTGATAGCATACCTGCTCGAAGCAGCCTGTAAACACATCCACTTCCGCTTGTTTCTTCTTCTACGGCGATTAGGCGACTAAGCAGACGCAATGAGAATTAGCACCACCTGCTGGACCGGAGGATACGTCTGAAAAGTATACAATATAAAAACATGTACAAATGGTTTATTTCTTATTTTTCTTTAACTTTTTCTTCAACCAGCAAACCAAAAAAATGAAAACAACATAAAATCGCAAAATTGAATGGAAATGAGCAGAATAAAGAATATTCATATCTAATTTCGTACAACATTAGTGAACAAAGCAAGCACATAATTAGAACAAATTAAAATAAAATAGCACTCTTATATCTCAAGTTACATTTCACTGTATACCATTCAAAGATCACATTTACCACGTCACAACAACACAAAAACTTAATTTGATCACATTACTCCATTTCCTCAACAAATTTTTTTAATCTAATGTTGGATTTAGATTCTTTGGTTCTGCTGTTAAAATAGTTCCATAAAATGGTTTATTTCACATTTATGTAATTTAATTTGGTTCTTAATCTCGTTTTTTAAGATATTTGTTCCTTTTCAGTCTAGATCATAGTCTAGATCAGGGATGGGCAACTTTGGTCACAGCAAGGGCCACATTCATTTAATTCTCACTGCCAGGGGGCCAAATTGTAGTATACAAAAACCATTACAGTCAATTATGTCTCAAATTTAACTCAACATATACCAGTGATCAAATATTATTATGGAAATATTTCTGTTTTTTGTGGTTTCATGGCAGATTTTGTCATGTTTTGATATATAAAAATTGACCTGAGGGTTGACGAGGGCTGCATGTGCCCCCCGGGCCGCCAGTTGCCCACCCCTGGTCTAGATCATAAACTGTAAGGTCAAGACCCCCCCCCCCCCCCCCCCTTATTGAAATGAAATGGTTCAGTCTGGCCGTCAAATTTAGGCGCGAACAAAATCATGTTAGATGTTGATGTTAATTATAAGGCCATTCTCACAAAAATCAACTAATAGGGATGTGTATAATATAATGAGTGCCAGTTCAGAAACTAATTTATTGAATGTTTAGTTGTTGTTCTGTCACCAGCAGGTGTCACCCTCGTCACATGACACAACAGCTCCTGTAGCAGGGAAACAGCTGACACCTCAAACAGCTTAGGTTTCCCTCCCTAACAACAGTATATAACAAAGTTAACCAGAGCCAAGAGTATAATGTTTTACTCTGATTAAAAGCTTGTAATTAAACTTTTTGAAATGGAAAACGTTAGATTTTTATGACATTACTAGTCTTAGAACAATCACACAACGAGAGAATCAACCCCGACTACTTCAGTTATTTTTACTCTTGGTTAAATGTGGATTCATAAAATACCACAGAGGATGATTCCTTCTTTGAGAAGCTCTGTCCTGCGTCTGTCCAGTCTTATGAAGGTCTCTCCAGCGTCCCATCCCCAACCCCCAAGAAATCTCTCCTATATACACTTCCCGAGATGCCTCCAAATTCCTTGCCAAATGAAGCCTTTTCTTTGAGGAGAAATGCAAGGGCATTCCTCATCAGGGGGACACAATACCCCCTTTCACCGTGGCTGGGCTCTAAAATTTCACAGGTGATGGGAGGAACGGTGGTCACTCGATCCTCCTTCCTCCCTCCGACGTAACACACCAGAGCGAGGGAGAGAGAGAGAGCAAGGAGGGGGAGATGCCAATCGGGAATTTGGTGGAAGGGGAAAGAGGAGGAAAATGGCTCATGGTGGAATTGCTCAGCTTCTGTTGATCCTGCTTTGGATGATAAAGCTGCAAAAATATGACATTTTCCAAACACAAATGATACCAGAAGAAGTTGACCGTTGAATCCCTATATCTCAATTTGGCAGATCCATGGATATTGGAAGGCAGTAGAAGAGTAAAAAGATGGCCTCTTTAGGCTGGCTGCCGTAATGATAGAGTCTGAAGTAGGCCTTGGATTCTGTCAGCAAGACGTTATGAAGTACAAAGCAGTCGCCAGGACGAACATTGATGTTTGTGTTTTTAGTCATTGAGCTGATGAGCCCATACAGAGAGTCAGAGTCTGTGTCTCGTTCTTGACAGGAGGATCTGTGATAGTTCATTAGAAATAAGTTTGGATTCTTTTCTTCAACTTTCTTAAGCTTCTCAGCTATAAAATTAATCACAATGTTCAGAGTAACTTCCAGGTAGAAAATCCCTGCGCCAGGTAGAAACAATTTAACGGTGCAGAGCTAACACTAGCCAGGAATAAAGAGAAAACTGTTAATCCTCGGAGGGTGCAAATAGAGATTTCTGTTTTTTTGTTTTTTTTAAGCAAACATGCTCGAAGACAGCTCTGGATAGTAACAAGGGCGGAGTGTCAGGCTAATGTGACCTACTGTTGGTAGAGATGTCATCGAGGGAAGGTCGAGGGTTCGATCCCCGGCTCCTGCAGCAACATGTCCGATGTGTCCTTGGGCAAGATACTTAACCCCAAGTTGCTCGCGCTGCTTTGGCTGTGCTGTAGAGCAAAAATATTTGGCTGAATTACTGACTGTATGGAAGACGCTATTCGTTTCCTCCATGTTGTACAGAAATGATGATGGTCACTGTTTTCCAAGGTCATGTCATACATGAGTCTAATGTACGCCATGGCACTAAAGACCACTGGTCAGCTCCCAGCTCGCTTGCAGTAAGCATGTCAAGGGGGGGGGGAAACTGGACATACTCCTTGCAAAATCTTGACCACAGGTTTCTTCTCTTAAGAGCCTCTCTTAAGGATCTGTTCTTGGCCAAGAAGGGAGGCCAGATGGAGCTCACGTTTGATGAGCTGGTTTATGGCCATCCAATCTCTCCAGCTGATTCAAACACAGTGCATCCTTGGGCACTTGCAGACAAAAGCTCGACACAATATGCTAATTCTTAGGATTAGCATTCTTTTACAGCGTATCAGTTGGGGAGAGCCCCCCACCCTCACTGTCTTCTTGGACACAGGATAACCTCCAGGTTGCCCGTGTCACCAGGGTTTCCCCCTGATGGACACCCTTGAGGTAGTGCCATCAGTAATTGGTGCCTGTATGCTCTTAGTAGACCTGTATTAACTTTGGAGACCATATGTCCCACATGCCCAGTTGAAGTTTGACAAGCTGCCTGAGGGATGGATTTTGTCCAGGCAATGAGCATGTAACATCTGGCAGAAAGAAAAAACTCAATTTAAGTTTTAATAAAATACAATTTTAATTCTTTATGAAGATCAAGATTGTCCTAAACCTTCCTGCAACTTGTAAAAAATACAGACTGAATGATACCTTAGAGTTAAAGAACAAAGTAAAGAGTCTGTCAGAGGTTTCGAGAACGTCTTAACAGGGTCCTTCAGTCCTCATCCAGTCCTCGTGGCCTGTGTATTCCCTGACCGGGCACTGTAGACAGTAAACTCAGGTCATGTCCAGCCTCTGAGGCTTTAAATGGACTCTTTCATGGTCAGGGCAATGAATGAGGCGGCGGGGGCCTCTGTGTTGGGGTAGTGTGTATTTCCAGCCGCCTGCATGGAAACTATATTGAAAAAATTCAGTCCCGAGCACATCATGACTCCATTGTGCCTGTACAAATATGTCACATACCAGTTTGGGCGTATTTGACCAGAAAACTGTGACTTTCATTTAGTTTTAGTATTCCTACAATATGCATCTGCATACGGACAAAAAAATCCCGAGCATAACCTCATCTGATTTATTTAACGGACATGACCACATTTTAATGAGTGAGCTTAAGAAGTTGTGTGAGTTGAAATAGGTAGGATTCCTGTTTCCCTCAGTTTCAAGTCTTTGTGCTAAGCTAAGCTAACTTGCAGCTGATTGCAGGTTTGGTTGAATCAATAGATGTTAGATGAGTATCAGTTTCCGCATGTAACTTTGGAAGAAAATAAATCCACACATTCCCTAAATTTTCTTTTAGGAGGGACTCCAGCTGTCTTAAGTGTTGTCAGTACTGTAAGGAAAAGGCATCCCGCCCCCGTCCTCTCTGTCTGTTTATACCGTGCATGTGTGTGTGTTTGACAAAGCCCATCTCTCAGATTGGTGTGGAATGCCAGAAAGTAGTGACTGGTTTTGAGTCTGCACTTCCCTTTAGAGCCAGTGATCCTGCAGTCCAGACATTCATGGTTACAGAAGCACACAAGTCAAGCTAATTGTTGGTATAGGCTCATTTTAAATTTGGTCCATCCATACATTTTCTTCTGCTTATCCCTTCTGGGTTGCAATGGGGGCATGCTAACCAGATATCCTTCACTGATACATCATTTTGTAGCTCCTACTTCTGGATCTGAAGGTGATCCCTGATGAGATACAGGATGTTTTGGGGTCTCTTCCCAGATGAACTTGGCTGGAAAACCTTGAAAGGAAGACATCCAGTTTTATCTTGATCAGATCCACAAACTATTTCAGTTAACTGCTATCGATGAAAAAGGAGCAGCAGAAGAAAGGGACCATGGACAATGGTTTAGTTTTGACCCGATGAAAGTAATGTATGAGTTATCTACATGCCAACAGTCTTTCTTTACCTGCTGCCAAAGCCAACCAGCTACAAATACGTGGAAGAACCTGGATAATCCATCCAATAATAAGTGAGATTTTAACTCAGAGCAATAAATGTCGACTTCATTGTTGCGATAGAGAGAAATCACGAATGCAGTGTAATGGTAGCTTGTCCAATAGTTGTTGAGATTGTCAGTTTGGACCAAAGAAGTGGCTAACAAACTAATGCTGTTCACATTACAGCACTGAGGGGCGGGAAACATTGCCATGGTAACAGCAAGCTCAACCTATCAGAGACGTCGCTGTGGCACTCTATGATCGTGGGTGGTGTAGTTCTTGGCCGCTATATCGCAAATAAATTTTGTTTTTCTTAAAACGACGTTGGCTAATAATCAAATCCGCAATGGAGAAAATGAACAGGATTTTTACTTCCAGAACCACACTGTTGAGCCCTGTCAAGAGTACACTAAAGAAGCAACAGAGATTCTCGACACGCCAGCGTCTGCTTCTGCTTAAATTGCTCCAGACAAATTTGTTCTCAAAGACGAGACAAACTGTCCCTCTTCG